GTGTGGACAAGGACTTTTTAAGTTCCTCTACGTGTAGTTCAGCTCATTCCCTACAGTCTTGCAGTCGCGGCCGGTGATGGAAGAAACCCAAAATGAGGAGTGTCACTTTGATGAGACGGCGCTGCGGCTACTTGCAGCCTCTCTCATTTGCAACTAATTGAAGCTGTTAATGTCTAATTTGTTGCTATCAAGGCAGCCTGGCTACAAGGGGGAAACCTGGCAGCAAGTTCAGGCTCATTTTAGCTCTCAGACTAGCACTCCACAACCCGATCAGGCTCCTCAAAGTTAAAGAGGCAGGATGTTGAATATTCATGAGCTTGAATGTGTCCAGACGGTACTAACCCCAGAGGTGTGCGTTGTGCCCTTTCAACAGGACCTGGACGACATCGAAGATGAGAACGAGCAACTTAAACAGGAGAACAAGACTCTGCTGAAGGTGGTGGGTCAGCTGACGAGGTAGAAGAGCTCCGCACGGCCCAGACCCGACACAACAAGCCAGCCTCGCCCCGACGAATGGAGCGTCTCCGTTCCCTCTCCTCTCCTGCCCTCGGTCAAGTCCAGCTGCGTGACCTCTTTTTTGTGTTTGATTCGTCTGTTAGAGGTGAGACTGTAAATTAGTCGTCCAGAGGCTCACGGCCTTAAAACACATCCCTCTGGGGGGATTCATTCCTTTTGTTGCGAAAGCCGAGCTGAGTGGTGGAGGATCATCTGTCGTTCTATACATATTTAATGTAAATGTTTGTATATAGGCCATTTAGGTTGTTCATGTTTGGATTTCTGATAAGGTCTGAAAAAAAAAAAAAGAAAATTAATACAATGAATGTATGTGCTGCACAAACAAGCGCGCACAATGTCTTGTTTAGAGGCTGTAAAAAGAAAAAAAAGTCTCCGTTTCCACAGCGTGCACACAGAAATCACCCTGATAAACTTAAAACAATCTCCAGTGTTGCATTGTTTGAATTGAGTCTGAGGCCAGTGCAGCGCTACTGTCTACAACACTTGGACCAAATTCAACACAATTACTGCTACAGTATCAGCAGCCAAAGTGGGCATAGTGCCTTGCAATGCATGTGAGATTTATTTTGTAATTTCTTTCTTTTTTTTTAACTGGTTAAAGCCTGGAGCTTTATTTACAAACTGTGCCAGATTTTCCTTCTTCCAACCACATCTTGGTACATTTTAATCCCACTTGGGCGTCTGCAATTCCGAATAAATAAAGTTGCATTTTAAATATATCCAATTTAAACAATGAAGTTGAAGCAAGACTATATCAATTATATGCTTTACGCATTTCAATGTTAACATCTTGAGTATTATGCCTGTCAGCGATGAAATGTTTCGGGGTTAAACCCTCGTCTCGTATATATGTGGACTCTTTTTTTAAAACGCATTTTGCTCTCGTTTACAAGTTACGGTCTTTGCAATATTTCATAGACGATTAGCTGCTCTGTTTATAGCCTCTAAAATGTGGAGTGGAGTGAGCTACAGTGCATTCTTATTCTGTATGATAACCAAATGAACCGAAGGAACATACTATTTGAAATGCATCTCTTTTGTTTACTCAAGGGAAACAAGGCTTGGCTGGTGGCAGCGTTTTTTTTCTTTCTCTATTTTATTCCAGTGAGCTCCTGTGCTGTGGCAATTAATCTTTAGGTTTTAGTCAGTCAAATCTGCTTCCACGCACATATTTTGGGGGTAAAGATCGTCCCCCTCGCAGACCGACATCACAGATCCATCTCTCTTTCCATTACATTATGCATGTACAGAAGATTAAGTCATTTAATAAAAGTTTGATTATCTCCCTCCTCAGTCGACTCGCTTGTGTTCATTAAGACTAATTTGATGTGATGATACCGTGCCACTGAGTCGGTAATGCAATGTGACGGTGGTGGGGGGTTCGGTTCCTCCGCTTAGCTTTCAGTACACACACACACACACACACACACACACACACAGTCGCAGCTGATGATGATTCAACATGCCAATCACCAACCTGACTGCGGCTGGGACATAAAACCTCGAGAACTTATTATGCTATTGAAACGCATTAATTCCCTCACCTAGTGACAGAATGAGGAGGGAACAATCTATACAGGAACCATATCAGGACTAATGCCATCTAAATTTCCAGATAATGGCCTCTTTCAGCTGATGGAAAGTGCTGGAGGCTCTCTCCATAATCCCTATTAGCATTTTTATGGAAAGTTGTAGGGTTTGTCATTTGGAATAGTCACAGAGGGCACAGACAATTCATATCTGTCTTTGGTTTGTCACAATAAGCTGCGAGTCGGCTCTCAGCGGCACCATCAGACCCCCACTAAAGTTCAGACAAAAACTGAATCATTTCGGTCTTATCAACGCTCAGTAAATTGCAAATTTGGCTGCGTGTGAACGCGGTTTGTCAGCAAATCTTTTTGTATAAAGTGGGTCTGGGGTTTTGTTTTGAAGCTCATTTTTAGACACAGTCTGTTGTCGTTTTGTATAGTGGCAAAAACGATTAAATGATAGAGTTTTAGACGTTAGAGCCCGACCAATACGTTGTTTAGCAGATATTATTGCTGATATTGACACAGACATGATAGTAGTAGCAGCGTATATGTTGTCCAAAATACGCCTATATGAAAACATTCTTTTACAGAGCTCAATACAGAAGAAGATGTTTGGGGGAATTGTGTCATCACATAGTTTGTCCAGCAGAGCAGCTCTGGCTCAGTTGTTTAAAAATACTCAGCACCGTCTGCAGCATAGATATGTATAACAAAGGCTAGATGTCTTAAGGCGGAGTCTCGGACAGGATCACCGGCAGCCATCTTGATATGGGGAAGCTCTCTGGCAGAACCTGTGGTACGCGAAGGAAGGTGAGGGATCTGCACAAACAAAAATACTCTCATCTCGCTGAAATCTTGATGGATTTACAAACGGTTTGGTTTCTTACAAACGTTATTAACGTGGCTACAATTCAAATTACAAAAATACAAATAAAATACAAAATAATTAAAATACAAATTGTTGCTGGCTGTGAGAGTGTAACATAATTATCCATAAGTGCAGAGTTATAACTACACCTCTGACGTTTGTAACAAACCAAACCGTTTGAAAATCGGTAGACAATTGAGCAAGTTATGGCTATTTAAAAAGTACATGCACCACTACAACACAATGTTATGGGTGAGCGAGCGCACCGTAACAAGATGGCCGCCCGTGTGGCCGTGCGATTCCATTGGCCAGCAGCGTGGACGAGACATCTAGCCTTTATTATACATATCTATGGTCTGCAGTACATGTAGCAGAGAAATCAAAACTGAGTGGACGGTGTCGTGGAGTCAAGCTTTGTCTTTGTGCTAAGTTGCTAACTGGCTTGTGAAATACATTGCTAGAAAGTTAATAAACAATGACCCCATCATTTACTGTTTTTAATACAACTCTAACATTTTGAAACAGTATATCGATATCAGAGTTTCTTACTCCTAAAATCGGCATCCTCCAAAAATTCCATTACTGGTCAGTCTCTTGCAGACACGCTGTAGAGGACATCTAAAAGAGAAAATGCTAACAGACTTGCAGCAACCACCAAAGCTATGCCATAATTTCCTATCTACAACTTTTTAGTTCAGTCATCCTAGATTGTCAATAGTTGTTGATTTCTAAATGCATTCCCCTCTTCCATTCAAACACAACACAAGCTTTAAATGCTGAGGATGCTTATATATCGCATTTGAACAGCTCAATAGATAGATCAAAAAAAAATGCAACTATGACAAAGAAAAATCTGGGCTCCTGATTAGTGAGCTGTCCTGTGGAGGCCTGTGTGTTCACCTACGACCCTCCTATCTGCCGGTGCACGCCAAAACAAACCTGTGGCTGCAGTAGACGCAGAGAGCTAAAACAAAGGACGCTTAAAAACCCAAACCAACAAAATTAAGCAACATTTCTGTGACATATCAGACGGAAACAGAAAAACAACAGGGATGTACTGCTTATTCAACGATCACAAAGGGTTGATAGGTAGTCGAGATGTCACAGCCATTCAATATACATTTCAGGTTTATAAACTGTGATGGACCACTGTGAGAGCTGCAAAGGCTCAACAGTGTCGACACCAATGTGACGTATTCTGTTGACTAGGACTGACTCTATCTCCAAATGTTTCCAAAAATGGTCAAACCAAGAGAGATTTGTGACTTCATTAAATGTAATGTTTAATTTTGGTTGCCTCTCAATGGAGCCCCTGGAGCGTGCAAGATGTTTTTTTCAACATTTATATAGTTTAACGTCAGGAATTAGTCCCAATCAGACCATGAATACACACTTCTACTGTGACATCCTGAAGTGTCTGAGAGAGAACCATAGACTGTATAAAAGATGGACGTAGCAACCGGCCCTGAAAAATGAAGCCAACCCGGAAGTGTCAAAAACTTACGTCCGCTAGCTGCTGGCTCCA